TTTTTTTTTTTTTTTTTTAATAAAAGGAGAAATTTTATTCCAGAAAAATGCAGAAATTACAAGAAGCAAAGCAGTACTGTTTAAAGAAAAAACAGTAACTGTAAACCAAATTACAAAGGAAAACTATATAAGGACAAAAAAGTAATTTTTGCAACATGGTCCCTATATACAGTCTTCTTTTTCTGGTAAACATCCTCTTCCAGATCAGCATTAGGAACTGCAAAAATTCCAAGTTCTTGAACAGGAAAAATGCAATTCCAATCCAGATCTCCAACAGGCTGCCAAACTTCATCCTCCAGCAGCTGAAACTCTTCACAATTTCCAACTGAGGGCAACCAATCTGCCTAGATCAGCCCAGATACATTCACAGAAGAAGCAGAATGAAAAAGGACCCCAACTGATATTGGGATTTGCAAATTCTGATGTATAATCTGTTTGGCAACTTTCTTCTACAGCCCTACTCAAGCTCAGACAAACATTTTAATCAACCAATTCCCTTCATTTGCTTACAAAGTATTCTTTTCAATCTGGCATTAGGTAAACCAGTTTGGTCTTGCTGCAGAATTAACCTTCCAGCCACTGGCAATACATTACTGCCAGAGAATTCAGTATATGTTTTTGAATGAACAGCAAAAGAAGCTAAAAAATCAGCCAATCCATTAGCTTCTCTGTAAATGTGTGAAATCTGCAAATTCATCATACCAAATAACAGTTTAATCCTCTTTAACAGATCTTGCAACTTCCATGGAATAATAGCCAAACCTTTCACCATTTGAACTAGAATTTGAGAATCAGACTCCACCAAAATCAGAGAATCTGATAAACCATGCTGCAGGATCAACAGTAAACCATCAAACAATGCCATACATTCAGCTAACATGTTTGAACCAACTCCATAAAAACAAGCAGCAGCTGTAATAACTCTCCCTGCATGGTTCCTTACCACTACTCCTCCTCCTGATAAACCAGTCTTTCCTTTAGAGGCACCATCAACATTAAGCTTTAATACATTTATAGGGGGAAATGCCCAACTAATCCATTTAACCTTGGTAATTAAAGAATAAGGATTTTTAATGTTCAACTCTCTCAAGAGTTCCTGCCCCTTACCATCATCATTAGCTCTAGGCCTTATGACAAAAGCCTGCCATTTCAAAGTACTAACAACTTGTAGGAAAATTGCATGTGCATTCAAAAAAGAACCCTCATACTTCCTTCTGCATCTTTCCTTCCACAAAGCCCAAAAGATTAACATAGAAATCCCCTTAGTCAAACTGTGACTGAGAGAAGGAGCTTTAAATCTTCTGAGCAATCTCAAAAATCTGCATAAAGGAGATTCACCTGACAAAATATCAAACCCCATAATTACAGCAATTTTCCTCCAAACATATTGAGCTAAAGAACATTCAATGAACAGATGAGCTATAGATTCCCCAGCTGTACCACACATTACACATTTACTAGCCATGGCCACTCCTACATTCTGAATTCTGTCATCAGAAGTCAAGGCTTGTTTAAAAATTTTCCAGGTGCATAACTGAGCACTAGGAAAAATTTCCTGCTTCCAAATACCTTGAACTATATCATTATGAGACCCCTTTTTCCTAATTTCATTCCAAGCAGATTTAACAGTAAAACAGCCTGATTTGGTATGCCTCCATATAAGTTTATCATGTGTGTCAGACCTCACCATAACTGCACTTTCAATCTCAGAACATATCTGAGGAGTAAGCCATTCAGCTACCTTTTCCAGTTGCCATTCAACACCATTCCATAATTCATTAATCCTAGGGAAAAACAATGGAGGAGACTCCAATCTAAAAAATAAGGGACCAGATCTCAACCAAGAGTCACACCAAAAATCAGTATGCTGTCCATTTCCAACAATTTTCAAGGAATTCTGTACTGTAAACTTGAACCATGGTTGTAATATTTTGAAAGAGAGACCAGCTATATTAGTTCCACATCTAATCATATGCTTCCCCTGAAAAAACTTTTCTTTAAAAACTTTGGCCCACAAAGAAGAACCATTTAAAATACCCCAAACCTGCTTGATTCTAAATGCTGTTTGAATTTCCTCAAGACTCCTAATTCCCAAACCACCTTCTGTTTTAGGTTTAGAGATATCATTCAATGAAACCCAGTGCCTTCTCTTAGAGCCAATCTGATTTGACCAGATGAAGTTAGAGATAAGAGAATTCAGCTTACTCAGTACACCTTTTGGAATATTCAGACAAGCCAATATGTGAATAGGGATTGAACTAAGTACTGATTGTATCAGTACAATTCTTCCCATACCAGATAACAATTTGGCATACCAACCCTCAATTCTCTTCCTGAATCTGTTCACCACCTCTTCAAAATAGCATTTCTTGATTCTTCCTCTGATAATGGGACATCCCAGATAAGTAAAAGGACATTCTTTAAAAGGAATTCCCACCTGAGTAGCCAAACTATTCCTTCTAGACAAGGAAATGAGCTTAGAACAAAAAACAGCACTCTTCAACTTGTTAACCTTTTGACCAGAGCTTGATTCATATATAGCAATAAACTTCATAACATTCAATACAGATTTTCTGTTACCTCTTAGAAAAATCAGAGTATCATCAGCAAACAATAGGTGACTCACAATAGTTGTTCCTCTCCCAATATGAAAATGATTAACCAAATTTTGACTATAAATGCTCCTCAGCCCTCTACTCAGTACTTCTTCAGCCAAGATGAATAAAGAAGGAGAAATAGGATCCCCCTGCCTTAGTCCTCTTGAATTAGCAAAATAACCATACCTTTGCCCATTTAAACATATAGTGAAGAATTGGCTATTCAAACAGTTCAAAATGATATGGTTGAACAAATCAGAAAATCCAAAACTAGCCAGAGCTTTCAGCAAGAAATCCCATTCCATCCTGTCATATGCCTTCATCATATCTAGTTTCATAACCATATTGCCACCTTCAACCTTCCTGTTCAATTCACCAACAAGTAGTTGCCCCAAAGCCACACAATCACTAATCCCTCTGCCTTGAACAAAACCATGTTGCTCCTCAGATATCAGAGCAGGAAGTAGAGGAGATAATCTAGTGTTTAGAAGCTTTGTAAAAATCTTATACATGAAGTTACATAGGCTTATAGGTCTGAAATCCGAAAATGTACTAGGANGTGTCTTGTCTTAGATCCAATCTGATTTGACCAAATGAAGTTAGAGATAAGAGAATTCAGCTTACTCAGTACACCTTTTGGAATATTCAGACAAGCCAATATGTGAATAGGGATTGAACTAAGTACTGATTGTATCAGTACAATTCTTCCCATACCAGATAACAATTTGGCATACCATCCCTCAATTCTCTTCCTGAATCTGCTCACCACCTCTTCAAAATAGCATTTCTTGATTCTTCCTCTGATAATGGGACATCCCAGATAAGTAAAAGGACATTCTTTAAAAGGAATTCCCACCTGAGTAGCCAAACTATTCCTTCTAGACAAGGAAATGAGCTTAGAACAAAAAATAGCACTCTTCAACTTGTTAACCTTTTGACCAGAGCTTGATTCATATATAGCAATAAACTTCATAACATTCAATACAGATTTTCTGTTACCTCTTAGAAAAATCAGAGTATCATCAGCAAACAATAGGTGACTCACAATAGTTGTTCCTCTCCCAATATGAAAATGATTAACCAAATTTTGACTATAAATGCTCCTCAGCCCTCTACTCAGTACTTCTTCAGCCAAGATGAATAAAGAAGGAGAAATAGGATCCCCCTGCCTTAGTCCTCTTGAATTAGCAAAATAACCATACCTTTGCCCATTTAAACATATAGTGAAGAATTGGCTATTCAAACAGTTCAAAATGATATGGTTGAACAAATCAGAAAATCCAAAACTAGCCAGAGCTTTCAGCAAGAAATCCCATTCCATCCTGTCATATGCCTTCATCATATCTAGTTTCATAACCATATTGCCACCTTCAACCTTCCTGTTCAATTCACCAACAAGTAGTTGCCCCAAAGCCACACAATCACTAATCCCTCTGCCTTGAACAAAACCATGTTGCTCCTCAGATATCAGAGCAGGAAGTAGAGGAGATAATCTAGTATTTAGAAGCTTTGTAAAAATCTTATACATGAAGTTACATAGGCTTATAGGTCTGAATTCCAAAAATGTACTAGGATCCTCCTTCTTAGGAATCAAGACCAATAAAGTAGAATTCACAGATCTGGGAATCACACCTCCTTTAAGCAAAAAATTAATAGCTTTGACCACATCATCTTTAATGATATCCCAGGCAAATTGGAAAAACTTACCAGACATACCATCCGGTCCAGGAGCACTCTCTATAGCCATTGAGAAAACAACATCTTTCACTTCCTCCATAGTAGCTTCAGCTGTAAGTCTCTCATTATCCTCATTACTGATAAGCTTTGGAATAACATCAAATATGTGTTCTTTGATAATATGCTCCTCAGACTTATAAAGATCAGTATAGAATTCCTCAGCAACAGCAGCCACCTGCTTATCCCCATATACCCACACTCCTTCTTTATTCTTAATTCTTGAAATTTTGTTTCTGATAACTCTACTTTTAGCAATAGAGTGATAAAATCTAGTATTTCTCTCTCCTTGAATAGCCCATTTCACATTTGATTTTTGTTTCCAATAGATTTCCTCTCTTCTCAGCCAATCATCCATCTCACCTTTAATTACTTCTAACTCTAAAGCTTTAGAATCAGAAAAGTTCTGATCTAATTCCATTTCAATTCCACTAGTCTTCTGTTCAAACTCTTTCAACTTTTCAAAAAGGTTACCAAAAACCTCTATATTCCACCTCCTCATATGAGCCTTCAGATATTTCATTTTGATGAACACATTTGACACTGGGTTATTTGAATACTGTCCAGTCCACTTAGATTTAATTAAAGCCAGAAAATCTTCATGATCACACCACATATCTTGAAATCTAAAATAGGAAATTCTTTTCTGTATAGGACTATCCATAATTTTCAATAATAAAGGACTATGATCAGAGGAACCTCTTGCCAGATGAACCACTTCCATGCTGTCCAATTCCAGATTCCAATAAGGATTAATCAGAGCTCTATCCAGCCTCTGCTTCATTCTTGTAACCCCAGCTCTATTATCACACCAAGTAAATTTATTTCCAACAAAACCAGCATCCAACAAACCCCTGTGATCCAAAAAGTCACCAAACTCCTCCATAGATAGCAAAGAAGGAAAAGCTCCTCCCAATCTTTCAGCAGAAGATAGAATGGTATTGAAATCACCAACTACCATCCAAGGAACCTTAGGAGGAACATCTATACTCAACAAATGTGACCATAAGGACCTTCTCTCAAAAATATCACAACTAGCATATACAACAAAAACCCAAAGAATAAGTGAAGTCCTGAGTGTAATTTCCACAGTCAGTACTTGAACATGTTCAAACATTACCTTCAATTTAATTCTCTCATCCCATAAAACCCAAATATTCCTTTCAGCTAAAGTATTAGAACAGAAATGCGCTAAACCAATGCTCCTAGCAAAAGGAACCAGTTTGGACACCAACATTTTGGGCTCTTGAATTGCAACAAGACAAACATCATGCAATTTAATGAGTTTCTTTAATCTCCTCCTCTTAGCATCTTTACCTGCCCCTCTCATATTCCATGATAGAAAATTAATCATAAATTCATAGAAGAGTGGACACCACTGGAACTAAATCCATTATCATCCTCATTTCCATCCAAAGAACTACCAGAATTATCAGAATCAACATTTACAACCTTCTGAGTCCTAGAACTAGCTTGATCAGAGTAGTAACCTTTATCTGGAGGTTCTCTTACTCTAATCAAACCATTCTGATCATCTAAAGACTTCTGACTCCCTCTTATAACAGTCATTCCATTTTCAACTAAAAAGGAAGAACCCAAAGATTGAGCATAAAGAGTTTTACACTCTCCAAGAACTTCCATTAGGTTGACATCATTCAAACTCTGATTAAGGGGAACTAGTTTTTCCCCTATATTAACATTGTTTCCATCAATATCTCCCACATTTACCACCTCATTAGCAACAGGCAAAAAGATAGGAGATGAAGAATAAGAAATCTCCAAGTTAGTACCTTCATGAT